GGGGGGGGCGCTACTTAACTGGTTAATTCTTAACTACTTTTAAGGAATTTTTGTTTATATTCTTATCTCAGCATCACTAGATTCAACATCTCCAATTTAGTAGAATATATGTGTTCCAAGAAGATAGATATAAGTTTAGTTTTTGGCAGGGCAAATTCTCTTTTCCCACTGCCTTTGTCATTTCAGAGGTGGTGCTCCTTCATTTCTGGTGGCTTTTAAAGAGGTAAACTGAAGGCAACTTCTTTTCCTAAGCTAATGTGTGGTGACCTACTTGTAGGCATACCTAAAGAATGAGTCTCTCTGACACTCAAATATCTGGCTATGTTGAGTGAATCATTAATTTCTCCTGCTGAAGCTGCCACTCCAGAGCATGGACAGGTGGGATTACTGACCTGTTAACACAGAATTGCAGGTAGTCACACAACACAGAAACCCCACTGTACTGTGGGAAAGGGGTCGCCTCTGTAAGCCCGCACAAAAGCATAGCTGTAATGTGTAAGTCTGCTTGGACAGCAGGTGATAAAGCACTAACGATTCAGGCTCAAAAGTGACAGGTTCATTTAAAGGCCATTTAGTAAAATAATGGGCATAAAATGTTCCAGAAACTTCTGAGCATACCTACCCTGGACCGTCTAACTGTAAAGCAAAAATGAGAAAAAGGAAAGAACTCTGTACAGAAAAAGCAGTAAGAGTTGTTTTTCTCAATGATCAGTGAGTTTTTTCACACAAAGTCAGGCTCCCCTTCAAGGTAAAGGGAGGCAAACTGCCTTGACATGTGATACCCTCCTCAGCCAGAGCATGAAAGGGATGTGTTGCCTCTGGAGCACCCTTCACCAGCACCATTAAGTGAAATAAATCACATTAACATCCTGAAACTTCATTTATTTTAAAAATCCATTTCCTCCACCCGGAGTCCTGCTTGAATCATCTTCTTTGCATCCAGTGCATGAATCTTCTCATCTGCTGCATCAATCTGTCCCCATAAATACATTTCCCTGGGCAGCAGCAAAATGAGAGTACAGAAAACAATATAGGCAATTGTAAAAGAATTGGACACTCACCAAAAGCAAACTGGCTTAAAAACTACAACCTTGTGGCACAGATCATAATGTTATTATATTAGACTTATCCCAGCATGGGATTCCAGAGCTCTTTAGGAGATTTTGCAGACTAAGTTCTGAAGTTATAGCAAAACCGTGGAACTGTCGCTAGTTTATTACAAAAGAAAAGGGGAAATAGGATGATTACATATTTACAAGCAAATAAAGCAGACTACAAACCATCACTGTTCGTTTCTTTTTTTTTTTTTCTCCACCAAAAAAAAAAAGGGAAAGCGATGGAGGTTGGTTTTTAAATGCGACAGATGAATGTCCAAATATGAGCTCAGCTCTAAAAGGGGAAACGAGCACAGTTGTACCACAGTCCCAGGCTGACAAGTGTTGAGGAACGTGGAAGGTAGCCAAGAGGGTTCCTGCATCTCACTCCATGCTCAGAAACAGCTTTTACTGACGCGCCTTCTGATACAGGATGGTTGTTGTTGGAGTTCTCATTATGCACTATTTTAAATGCCTTCTTCTCAAGGGTGGTGGGGGCATTCATTTGTGAGAATTTTATTAAGAGCTAGTTGGCAATCAATTAACCTACTAAAAATGAGTCAATGCTTCTCAGTCACACCAACAGTGCTTTTGACCCTGAGGGAGTCACCTCAAGACAGGAGACCTGGGCATCAAGGCTACTGGAGACTCTGGGGTCAAGGGTTTTTTAGAACTTCAAAATTAGCGAAAAAAAAATAGAGAAAAAAAGGTTTGTTGATCTTCAGTCAACTTAAATAGGATAACTAAAGTTTTCACACCCACTATTGTATCTATAAGTAAGGGTTAACAATTTCGTATTTTTTAAAAAACTATGTGTGTTTGGTTATACAGATGAATTTATCAACAGGCAAGAACTTTAATAAGATTAAATGAGTACAGTACAAAAAGTATCCAAGTTAAATGATATTACCAAATTCAGATGAAAGGAAAATGAGTAAAACTTTGAGAAGCAACTGGCAAGCCTATAATTTCCAGTCTACAAGATGAGGGGTACAAAACGTGCAATCTATTGTTACTAGCAGTTTTTAGCATAGCCATAGAATAGCAGCTAGCATTCTTTGAGGTCTTTCTATATATATTGCTGTGTATTCACTCCTGTACTACTCATAACATCTTATCACAGGAGTTTTTATTATTCTCATTTTTCAGCTGAAGAAACTGAGGCGCAGACAGGTCCTATAGTTAATAAGTGGTGATTGGAAGATTTGAACTCAGGTGTTCTACTCAATAGATCTGAGCTATCACACTAGATTCCTTCTGGCACTAAAATTTTGTGAACTGTCAAGGTAAAG